TCCAAATTCTTCAGCATCCCCCTCTTGTGTTCAATAGACAACGGATAAACAGACTTCTTCTCCGTCTAAAGTTCTTTCGGGCTTCTATCTTCCAGTGTCTGACAGTCATACTCTCGCTGATCAGGCTTCTTCTTTCGTTACTAGCCATCGACTAAATGGCAGTAACTATCTTCAATGGTCGTCCTTGGTGTTAATGTTCATCCGAGGAAAAGGCCAGAACGAATACTTCATTGGAGAACTCTCACCACCTCCCGCGAATGATCCAAATGCTCAGACATGGAAAGTAGAGAACAATCTTGTTATGCCTTAACTGGTGAACTCAATGACCACCGAAATTGGAGAAAATTTTCTCCTTTATGAGACTGCGCACGATATCTGGGTCGCAATCCGTGAGTTCAATTTCACACGTGACAATACTTCCGCCATCTTCAAAATCAAAGCAAGTCTTCACGACTTGCGCCAATGAGAAAAGACGGTAACTCAATATTATAATTTTATTACCTGAAAATGGCAGCAACTTGAAGCTTTTAAGAAACATGCTTGGAGCTGTCCCAAGGATGTCAGGAGATTTTAAAGCATCGTGGAACATAAAAGAATATTCAAATTCTTCTTCGAATTGAACAAATACCTCGACGAGGTAAGAGGACACATCCTTAGAACCAAACCTCTCCCGAACATCAGAGAGGTGTTCTCTAAGATGGGACGCGAAGAAAGCAGGAAAAAGGTGATGATTGGTGAACTGCAACTCAGCCCTGACCTTACTGAAAGCAGTTCTCTCTCACCCGAGGCTGATGTAGCTCTCACAAGTCGGGTAACTGAACGGAAGGGACAGTCATTGTGCGAGTACTGAAAAAAGTCTAGGCACGTTCGTAGAAGATGCTGGAAGCTTCACGGGAAGCAAGCTGAAAAGAAGACACCAAAGCAGGAGACTCATCGGGCCAATTTTGTCTCAACTAAGGAGGAATCAGCTGTAGCCATTCCTACTTAAAACCCTCTATTTAGTCATAAACAGATCAGCCTCCTCCAAAAAATGTTTTCTCCCAATATGGTTCTCGGTAATGCTTCCACAGCTCACAAAGGTAATTTTTCTTTTCTCTCAACTTATTCCACAAAAAGGAGAATGTGGATTATTTAACTCAGATGCTTTCTGATCATATGACCGAAGCTATCTCATTATTTAAGGAATACAGTAAGTGCAGAGGGTAAATTCTCAAATTAAAATTGTTGATGGCTCTAGTTCCTAAGTTGAAAGAACAAGAATAATTGCACTCTTACCCAAGTTAATTTTGTACTATGTGCTATACGTTCCAAATTTGAATTGTAATCTCCTGTCAATAAGCAAACTATCACAGAATTTGAATTGTGTAGCTATATTTAACTCTAATCTGTGTGAATTTCAGGACTTGAACTCGAAGAAAACGATTGGCAATACTAGTATGAATTCGGGTCTTTATCTACTGCAAGCTAACAACTCTTCTCTTAGTAGCAAACTTATCATGCAATATATATTAATTTTAAATATGTAAACAATTTAAATAGGGAATGTCCCATCATGTTATGGCATCACCGTTTAGGATATTCTAATTTCTTATACTTGAAAAAGTTATTTTCTACTTTGTTTTGAAATAAAAATCCACATTCCTTTCAATGCAAAATATGTCAATTGTCTAAACATATTCGAAATTCATTTCTCAGTTCAGTTTACAAACCCACAAAACTTTTTTCATTAATCCATAATGATGTATGGGATCCCTCTCGGGTTACTAATATCACCGAGACAAAATATTTTATATCTTTTGGTTGATGACCACACTAAAATTACTTGAATTTTTCTCATGAAAAAAAAATCTGAAGTTGACCAAATTTTTCAAAAATTTCATACTATTATTCAAAATCAATTTCATACTAAAATTCAAGTATTAAGATCAGACAATAAGTGTGAATACTTTGAAACCACTTTGAGCCAATACTTTTCTGACTACGGTATTATTCATCAAAGTTCCTGTGTTAATACCCCACAACAAAATAGCATAACCGAACGAAAAAATAAACACATTCTTAAAGTGGCGCGATCAATTATGTTCACTACCCACATTTCAAAATTTCTTTGGGGAGAGTCTGTTCTCACCGCTACACACTTGATAAACCGCATGCCCTCCCGAACTCTCGCATTTCGAGCACCCTATGATATACTCTTGAAGGCCTTTCCACAATCTCATATCCTTCATACCCTTCCCTACAAAGTTTTCGGTTATGTATCCTATGTCCATATTCATGCTCACCTCAGGGGTAAACTTGACCCAATAGCCATTAAATGTGTTTTTGTTGGATATTCATCAAGTCAAAAAAGATATAAATATTTTTGTCCCGAGACCTGTCGTTTCTACAACACTATAAATGTTACTTTTTTTTGAAAACCAGTCGTTATATCCCACTACTGATATTTAGGGGGGAAAGTATTAATTAGGAATATCAAGTATGGGATATAAGTACACCACCTCTCATCTCTCTTCCCCTCACTATTCCCAAGTCCTCATCAAATTTCGCTGAAACTAGTAACAAAGAGTCTGAATCTGAACTTGTACCTACTGCAATCAACAAAGAGTTACTTATCTATACTAAGAGAAATAAAGCTCTACTTGATAAAGATTCTTAACCAACAACACATTGCCATGAATCTATTCCAGTTCCAAGTAGTAAAGACACATCAGGTAACAAGTTTTCAGGCACAACTTCTGATACTATCACTATTACTGACCATGATACTAAGTTACTTATTGCTTTGCGTAAAGGAATTCGATCTTGTATTAAACATCCTATACAAGATTATATTTCATTCAACAACTTGTCTTCAAAGTATCATTCATATGTAAAAGCTTGATGGCAGCTCCACTGAACCTAAAACAATTTATGAAGTCTTTGCACTACCAGAGTGGAGAGGTGCTATTCAAGAAGAGATCAGGGCCCTAGAAAAAAATAAGACTTGGGAACTGACAAAACTTCCATCTGGAAAACATAGTGGGGTGCAAATAGATATTCACTACAAAACACAATCCTGATGGAAGTGTGAAATGGTACAAAACTCGTTTAGTGGCTAAAGGCTTCACTCAGTTCTACGAGATAGACTATCAGGAGACATTCGCCCCAGTGGCTAAGCACAATATTATCCGGGTATTACTCTCTCTTGCTTCTAATTTTGATTGGCCTCTCTGTCAACTTGATATAAAGAATGCATTTCTCAATGGAAATTTAGAAGAAGAGGTATATATGAAAGTTCCTCTGGACCTTGAGACCACATATGAATCTCACAAGGTATGCAAACTCAGAAAGACACTCTATGGTCTAAAACAATCTCCGAGAGCTTGGTTTGATAGATTCACCAAAGCAATTAAACATATGGGCTGTGAGCAGTGTCAGTCTGATCGTACTTTGTTTGTCAAAAACAGTATCTCTGGTAAGAAAGTTATCCTAATTGTTTATATTGATAATATTATTTTAACAGGTGATAATATAGAAAAAATTCATAAACTCAAAATTTTTCTTGTAACGGAATTTGAGATAAAAGATCTTGGAGCACTCAATTATTTTCTGATAATGGAATTTGCTCGTTTTAAAAAGGGATATTTGTGTCACAACGGAAATATGTTCTTAACTTGCTGAAAGAAACAAAGATACTTGGGTGTAAACCAACAGAAACACCCATGGAAACGACTACAAAAGTTGAATTTAAAACCGATGGCAAGCCAGTTGATAAAGAAAGATATTAGAAACTTGTGGGCAAACTCATTTATCTCGCTCATATTAGACTTGACATCAGTTTCACTGTAAGTACTGCAAGTCAATTCATGAACCAACTTACTAATAATCATATAAATATAGTATATCGGATCCTAAGATATCTTAAGAAAACTCCAGGACAAGAACTATTTTTCCAAAAACAATGAATAAGAATATTGAAATCTATACAGATGCAGATTGGACGGGTTCTGTAACTGACAGAATATCTACATCTGGGTATTGTACTTATGTTTGGGGAAACTTAGTCACTTGATGGAACAAGAAACAATCTGTTGTGTTACAAAATAGTGTAGAAGCTAAATTTCGGTCACTTGCTTATGGAATATGCGAGGAAGTTTGGTTAAAAAGGGTTCTAATGAAAATAAAATTCTCAGTTACTACTCCCATGAAAGTGTGGTGCGACAATCAATCAATAATCAGCATAGCTAAAAATCCTGTACATCATGATCGAACTAAACATGTGGAGATAGATAAGCACTTTATCAGAGAGAAGATTGAAGATCAAACCATTACAATACTCCATGTTCCTACAAGTCAGCAAACTACAGATATTTTAACAAAGGCACTTCTCAAAAGATCCTTTAACGAATTGATATCCAATCTAGGCTCACTCAACATTTATGCAACCTAAATTAAGAGGGAGTATAGAAATATTAGAAATAAATTGTATTTACAATTATTGTTACTGCTTTCCATTTTCATTTTTGTTAGACAGCTTATTGTTAGGATCAGACACTGTAACAGAATGCTAGTTGTCATTTGTTGATTATTCTTAAGCTATCTGTCATTTCCCTCTGTTTTGCTTATAAAATAAGACACTAATCATTGATGTAATAAGATGAAAAAATGAGTTTTTCCTACTCTCAAAATCTTCAATTTGTCTTAAAGGCTGCAATCTTTTTATAGACTTTCCTTCTCCTTGCAGATAAGAAAAATCTTATCTTTACACATAATTAAACATCTTGCTTAATTACCCTACAAAGATTGGTTGCTTTTGCTTCTACAATAGATGGGAGTGAAAAAATCACCCCACAAAGATTTTATAAGTTCTTTTAATTGCATTGGCAAAAATGTTAATTTCTTTTTCCTCCAAGGGATCTTCTTTCTAGCAAGTGTAAGAACAATATCAGAAGAAAATAGTTAATAAATGATGTCGTCAACAAAGTAGCAGACATTAATGAGAGAGGTAAAAACTGCAAAGCAACAACTAAAGCAAAACTATACAGGTGGGAGAGCTTAATTTTGTAAAATATGAAGCAACCTTTTAGCTGAACCTCAAGTAAGACTGTATGCAACTTGGCCAAGCTTCTAAACCTCATGTCTATGGAGCAACTTGGCCAGTCCCAACCAGTCAGTACCTCAACTAGCTGGTTACAAATAGCAAGCTTTTTCTTAAAATAATTTAAAACAATATAACACTTTAAATATTTTTAGTTTTTTTGAAATGAAATAAAGGAATGATATTTTATAGAGAAGGATGTTTTAGAAATATAAAAATTCAGATAATGCATTGACAATAACACTTGACTAACTGGAGGTAACTGTCGAATAAAATGCAGAAGGTGAACTAATCAACGAAAATATATATATATATTTGAAAGTACAGAAGGCAAGTTTAGGTCATGTCATGTCTACTACAAACCTACCTTCATCCTTGATGTCTACCTTGAACCCAAAAGGAGACTATCAATGATGACACCAAGCTGCCATTACTAGCTATATTTACGTATTATCTGTAACGACCCTGAAAATTCTAAATGAAATGTATATTAAAAATATCAAATGCGGAAGCGAAGTCAAAATTTGATTAACATCCCTTACACTGAAACCAGAAAAACGTGCTCGAAATATAAAAGATCAAATTAACTAAAAGAGAAATTCGAAAGTAAAGCTATGAATATGACTTTGGAATCTTTAGGCGTCCCCTTCGTCGTCTTCTTGCGGAACGGGCTCGGGAACAATGTCCTCCTGATATGAAATGATTAAATAAGGAATGAGCTACACTAGCCCAGTAAGGACATCACGATATCTCACCGTCACGGAGGTAAAGGTGGGTAGAAAACACAAAAAGACCAATGGAGCATAATTTACAATAAACTCATTTATCAGTAATAAAACCTTTTACCATTCACTTACCTCGGTGAAATTCATAAAACAATATACGAAAGCAATAACATTATCATCATCATGAAATACTTATCACGTCCTTGCAATTCAATCATTTCACAATTTC